TTAAATTATGATATTATTTTTCTCTCTAAAATTTTGAAATAGTTTCTTTCTCTAAAAATTAAATTATGATATTGTTTATCTCTCTAAAATTTTGAAATAGTTTCTCTCTCTAAAAATTTGCATGTACTTTCTCTCTCTAAAATATGATAGTTTCTCTCTAAAACTTAAAATTTGAGATAGTTTTTCTCTCTGAAATTGAGATAGTTTCTCTCTAAAAAATTTTGGTACTTTCTCTCTCTAAATTTTTAACATACTTTCTTCCTCTAAAATTTTAATATATTTTTTCTTTTTAAAAGTTAAAATATGAGATAGTTTCTCTCTCCAAAATTTTGATATAGTTCATCTCTCTAAAAAAATTTAGTACTTTCCCTCTCTAAAATTTTAACATACTTTCTCTATCTAAAATTTTAACATACTTTCTCTCTCTAATTGATAAGAGTTTTTCTCTCTAAACATTTTGAGATAGTTTCTCTCTTTAAAAAATTTAGGTACTTTCTCTTTCTAAATTTTTCATACCTACCCAATGCTCCGTTTATTTCAGGTCAAGGGAGTCAATGGGTGAAATCCATGGGCCTTAAAAATGTCAAAAAACAAGTTTTTGTGCATAAATGAAATCATGGAAAAGTAGGTCTTATTTCCATGATTTTGATTTTCCTGATTTTAAGTATCCTAGCCATTAAACAATCTAAACGGTGGATTATAACAATATCCAAGATATTAGGACTCCATGCCTTAAAATCAAATGGTTAAAATCAAATAGATCTATAAACATATGAAAATCTTGAAAATAGATGTTCGAGTTAATGTGTTACAAAATACACTATTTTTGGGACCCAAACTATTTTTTTTTTTCATATTCATACATCTCGTTGTTGAGATGATCAATTAGAGGGTTTTTTAACATTAAAACAACTTTTTCTGAGGATTTTTTAGGTGCATTTGATATTTTAAAGATGCAACCTTATATAAACTTTTTTCATTTCTTAATGATTATTAATATCATTATGACCTCAAAATTGAAATATAAAAAATAAAGCATTTAATTGCAAATATTTGGAAATTTGTAAATTTAATGTGATGTTAGATAGGATGGAAACACAAAAACAAAGTTAGTTTTTAAGAAAGTTAAAATTATTAAATTAAAAAAATTGTTTAAAATTGTCGATAACTTTATGATAACAATCTTAGAACCATACATATGATTATTAATAATTATTAATATTATTAGGACCTCAAAATTAGAAAATAAAAAAGAAAGTATTTATTTCGAGTATTTAATATTTCGTAATACAAATTAAAATTTATTGTGATTTTAGAAAGGATCAAGGTTTGTATAAGGTGTCAACCTTAAACAATCACGATAAGGTGCACCTGAAAATCTCATTAAAAGATGTATTGTCAGTGCCAAAACTCTTATCATGATCTAAAAGCCTATTTTTCACTTCTGGTACGTTTGATTCATGCATAAATTGTTCATGCGTAAATATTTCCCAGGAAAATATTTACACATGTAAATTGTGTTTCACACATTTGGTTCGTTCCAAATGCATATGTAAATACTTTCTCATGGTAAAATATTTTACCATGAAAGAGCCAAAACATGATAAAATGAAACTACACCTCTTGAGGTGTGGAAGTATTCCCCAGATATTTTTTGCACACCAAAGCTGAACTATTTCATGAAATTCAATTTATATTATATCTATAATATACAATATACATATTTATATTATATTATATAAATATAATATTATATACAATATAAATATCATCATATATATATATATGTATATTATTCACATTATTTATAAATATATAAATATCATATATTATATTATAATAAATACTATATCATGTATCATATTTAATACAAATATATATATATATATGTTTTATTATGAATTATATATATAATATTTATATTATAAAATATATTATAATATCTATATATATTTCACAATATATATATATATATATTATTATTATAAAATAAATATATATTCCTTAAATTATTTATAATATATATATATATATATATATTATAATATTATATATGATATATTTATTATATTATATATGCAAGGTTTTGTATAAATATTTTCACAGCAACCAAGCGCTATCAAACATATGAAATTGTTTACACAATGCTTTTTAAATGTGCTACCAAACATCGTAAAAATAATGCATATGCAAATATTTCACAAGTAAAGTGTTACATATGTAAATATTTACTGGGGAATATTTACGCGTGAACCAAACGTGCCCTTCCATAATGAAATTGAAAGCTCTAAAAATAGTGCATATCTAGCTGTCTATCAGTACTCGAAAATCTTGAATGCACGGTCTAGATAATGTTTTATAAGATGCATTATTTTTAGAACTTGAAATTTATTTTTTCTTTCATATTCATGTATATCGAGGTCAAAATAATCAATTGGAGATTTTTCTAGTGACGAAACTACTTCTTTCGATAGTTTTTTGAGGTGTACCTTACTTCTACAATATAAGGTTGACACCTTATATAAATTTATTCCTTTTAAAATGGAAACAAACTTACTTTATAAGAAAATTAAAATTATTAAATTATAAAATAAAACCATTATTAAAAAGTGATGATAAAAAATAATTTACTGTGAAAATAAAATTATATTTTAAAAAATTCCTTTAAAAAATTGGTCGTAAATGAAATAAATGAGCATAAACATTTAGGAAAATTTTTATATATGGGTGAGGCCTTAAACAATCAAATTAAGGGCACAATATAACAATTAATGAAATAGTGCATCTTGTAATGCATTTTTTTGGATGGTTAATTTTCAAGATTTTCAAGGGTTCATAGATCTGCTTGATCTACACTAGTTTTTAAGCTCTAAATTTATAATTAGAATTAAAACTTAATTTTCAGGCCATCACAAAGATATTCAGTATTGAAACGACATCTTTTGACACCATTGAAAGGTGTACTTTACTTTGATTGTGTAGGACCTCAACCTTATATAAACAACACCAAAAAATTCAAACTCTATTTTGAAGTTTAGCTTTGTTTAGCTTTGTAGTGGTGAGCCTTACTAAAAAATAATGCTATTTATTTAAAAAAATTAAAAAATTTATAGTGAAAAACATAAAAATATAGTTAAATCATAATATAAGATGGAAGTAACATATTATTGTGGTAATTAATCTACAATGGAATTTATAATTATTAATGATTATTAATATTATGGGTGATGTTTCTATGAGGCCTAGGCTCTATTAAACAAAGGTAAAGCCTTGCCTTGACTCCTCCTCTGGAAAGCACTTCAGGTATGGAAAATCTCCATAATGACTCCAAAATCAATTTCGAACATCAATTATAAAATTTAAAGCTCAAAATAACGGTATAGATCTTACAAACTAGTTAATACTTACTCTTAGGGCAAAATAGATGGTCGAGAATGTGTTACATTTTACATTATTTTTAAGACTTCAAATCTGATTTTTTTTCATAGCCATAATGGTCAAGGCCGAGTTGATAAAATTAATAGTTTTCTAAAGCTAGAATTGCAATTTTCGATAAGTTCTTGAGGTGAGGCTTTCTTATTTTAATAAGGCTGCAGTATCAAATTATTTTCTTAATATTATTAAAAAATTTCTTAAGGAAAACTCTAAAAAACGCCTATAGGCGATTTTTAATTGTGTTTTGCCCCGCAATGGACATGCTATGTTTGTGGCGGTTTATTGAACGAAGCCGCAACAGACAGTGTGTGGTCCGCGATGGTTTCCACATGTTTTTTGACCGCAACGAGCCTACTACATCCGTTGTGGTACCGCAACAGAGGTCTGTTGCGGTCTTTTATCCATGCCATCCAAAAAAATCGAACGACGTCGAGCCTATAGGTGAAAATACTATTCATTTTCACCCATAGACGTATTGTAGTGGCTTCCTTTTCTTAATATTATTAAGGCCTCACAATTAAAAAATTAAAAGTAAAATAGATGAACAAACGCATAGATATCATTGTGATAGTTATTATTGTGAAAATAATAATTAGGATAATAAGGAGCTACTAGATATGGAATATATTTGTTATTGTAAAATAATAATTAGGATATTAGGATAAGGGTTCGGTTTGTATAGAGCCGAGGCGCTACACAAACAAAGTAAAGTGCATCTTCAAATAGTGTCGAGAAATGTTTCAATATTGAAAATCTTTGTGATATAGCTTTAAAATATTTTTTTATATTTAATTATAAAATTTAAAGCTTCACAAAATAGTGTAGGTCAAGCAGATATATGGAAACTTGAAAATTGATGGTCCAAAAATGTGTTACAAGATGAACCATTTTCAAAATTTGAAATCCATTTTTTTTCTCATGTCCATGCATCTTGATGTCAAGATAATCAATTTGAGGATATTTGAGCATCAAAATGACTTTTCTTGAGAAAATTTTGAAGCGAGCTCTAATTTGATTGTTTAGAGCCTCGACTCTATATAAACTTTTTCCTTAGGATAATTAAGAGCTCCTAGGTATATAATATAGATGGAAAAAGTTTATATAAAGATGTTACTTTATAATGTAGAACTACATATGCCCTCTCAAAAACCATCGGAAAAGATAGTTTTAATATTGAAAACCCTTTGATTGATCATCTCGACATCGAGATGTATGACTATGAAAAATAAAAAGATTTTAAGTATAAGAAATAGTGTATTTTACAACATATTATCTACAGTATTCATTTCAAGATTTTCATATGTTTATAGATCTACTTGATGTTAATCATTTTTAAAATTTTATAATTGATATAAAAATAAATTTTGAGATAATTCTAAAAATATTTTACATCATAATTATATGTCATAATAAAATTTGAAGGTATATATGACTCTTATACTTGCGGATGCATCTGTATACAAAGTGCACTCATAATAGTATACGAATAATGATCCTATAAGACTCTCCGACCCCAAAAATTAATCATTTTATAAGTATCTTTAGTAAAGTTATCACATGGACGGGAGATATGGGATTTGACTTAGCCTAAATATCGATCCCAAATTTAAAGGTGGTTTTTGCTCCTCCACACATGGCTGTGGGGGATCGCTGTGGGGGATCGCACAAGTTCTACAAGGTCATTTCCGATGGTATATAGCTAATCCCAGCTTTTTCCATACATATATATTCTCCATGCTTTAACTCTTTGAAGGATAAATACGGGAAAGATGCAGATTTGGGTTTCTAATAGTTATTCACCGTACAACTTTCTCTTTTCTTCAAGCCATAGCCCTCGTCTGAAGCCATCAGCTTTCCTATCGTTCTTTCCTTTCTCTTCAAGCTTGAAGCTATTTCAAGGTATGTTCTTCGTTGTTCTTAATTATTATTGATATTAATCTTCATTGTTCTTAATTGCTTTTCAATTTTCATCTCAGAGCTCTGAAATTTTTCATAATATCAGAAAATATGCTCTGATTGTTTTGCTAAAATCAGAAGATAGTTCTTCCGCGACGCAGGGCATGAAAAAATTGGATTTAAAAGACTTTCTTTAGGTATATGCAGAGTATTCGTTTTGGATTTAAAAGGCCTGGTACTTGGGATGTCTCGTTCCTGTTTGGTCTTAGCTTACTGTTCTTGCATCCTCTCATTGTGTTCATTACTGATAAATAGGAGATGTCTAAACTCTAGATTCTTTATAAGTCATATATTGCTCTTTTGATTTTCTGTTTTTCTATTTTTGGATTGGTAACAATTTTGTGATTGATTAGCCATGCAATGCCATTTTACTTCAATTTAATCTCGAGGAGTCATTTCATTAGAATTCGAAGTTTCGTGTGGAAATAATATCTAAATCAAGTGTTGTTGCTGTAAGGGATGTGTCAATCGATTAGAAGTTACTTTGCTGCTAATTGATTGGGACTTTGTGATTGAAGTTTTGTGTTTTTTAGCTGGTTACTAAACTAAATCCCTTGATATGAATGACCTGTTATTGCCTCCATATGCTGATTCTTTATATACAGTGTTTCAAAAAGCCTTAGGTGGCATCTAGGCGGTTGGGGGTCCAGGCCGCCCAACGCCTAGGCGGGCGCCCAGAAAAATAATTTTTTTTGGGTTTTCTTTCTCTAATGAACCTAAAACCCACAATTTTACCCTTTTACTACTAAAAAAAACCCAAAAATACCCCCGCATTTCTGCCCCTCAGTAGCGTGTAGGCCCTGAGCGGCCGCCTAGGTGGGTTCAGGCAGGTGCCCAGGGATATCTACCTCGGCGGCCGCCTAGGCCCTAGGCGGTCCGCTTTTTGAAACAGTGTTTATATATGTCATATGCTAGTTTGCATCCTTGGTCTTAAGCAGTAGTCATTGCCTTCATATGCTAGATTGCATCCTTGCTCCATCGATTGCTAGTTTGCATTCTTTGTACGACCTTTGTCTTAAGCAGTAGCACAAAATGCGAATAGGCCTAGAATGATCCCTTGGTTAATTGGTCATAATCTTTTTACTAATGGGTTGAGTTACTAGGATCATGTCCATGTACCTGTTTGAATATTAAATTCTTCCTCAAACTTCATTTCGTATTTTGAAATTGTTGATGCAATTGCCTCTCTTAACAAAGAGCAAGTATTAAAAGGATAACTGATGCTGGTTCCATTTCTTTAGAGATCACTTTTATTTGCCTTAACATGTCTTATATATTTGTTTCTAACCATAAAAAAAGATATTTCATGTAATTTTTTCTTGGCAGCCCACTGATGATAAATTTTAGTGATATGAGCTTTGCCCATTCTTCCAACCAAACTATTTGTAAGCTAAAAATTAACATGCAGTGGAGACATCAAAATTAATTCAGTATGACAATGAAAGGAGATGGAGGGGGAGAGGGAGAAAAAATTAACAACTTATGATCTTAACCAACCATCAAGTAATGACATGGATGGTTTATAATTAAAAAGTGTTAATCCAAAGATAAATTTCTACCTCCAAGCAATGAGTTCTGTAAATAACGGTTGAATCTGTGGTTTTTAGATTTCCAGGTTAGCTAACAGGGGAAATTGCTAGTAGCCGATTTCCCTGGTTTCATAGACATGTTACCAAAAAAGGGTTTAGGCTCTCGCTGTTTCCCAGAGATTCTCCAAGAAAACAACTTTCTCAGCTACCAAACAGGGCCTTAGAGTTTTAGAGAGAGATTCGGAGCAGCTCTGCAATGGGGAATAAGATCGCGCGCACCACGCAAGTGTCTGCCTCTGAGTATTACCTTCATGATCTCCCCTCTTCTTATAACCTGGTTTTGAAGGAGGTTTTGGGGAGAGGTCGGTTCTTCAAGTCAATTCAGTGCAAGCACGATGAGGGCCTGGTTCTCGTCAAGGTTTACTTTAAGAGAGGCGACCCACTTGATCTCAAGGTTTGCTTCTCAATTCCTTCTGGTTTTGTCCAAGTTACATTTATTGTTATTTTACTGGAGTAATTAGATTGAATTATCTTGTTGATGTTTTTCCTCTTTATAAAATGCTCGGTAATGATAAATTAATGGATGTCTATTGTGGTAGCTCGAATTTAAAGTCTTCTATAACTTAGCTTTAGTTTGTGGCCTTTGAGTTAGAATATAAAGGTTATCTATATGGACATTACTCTGCATTATCGAATGTTACCATGGAATTTAACTCGATCCTACTAATTCCAAATTTATTGTGGTTCAATTTCAAACATTGTTTTTTCCCCATACTTTGATTTGTGGCCTTCACAATAAAATCAAGGCTTCTTACCACGTCTAGCATCATATGGAGCACTTGTTTATTTATTTGCCCTCGAATCTGAGCTATTCGATGGATGGAGGATGAGAAAACGACCCTAGGCACACAATTTCAGGTTGATTGGAATCTTGAATGAAGAGAAATGGTGAAAAGGGGTTTGCATTTTATAAACTGTTTTTTAATTGGACTTGGTGAGTCCTGATGGACCCAGCAAGGTATGCTGAAGCCTAATCGACTCGGCGGAGTCCAAGTCGGACTTGGCAAGTTTTTTCATACGGCTCGAAACACAATAGGGAAGACGTAATTTTCTATTGCTCATCTAGTTCTTGCTAAAAGAGTTTTTGATGCTTTATTTTTTAACAATTTTATGCTTCTGCTTTATGTGATTTATATTCTTCAGGACTATGAAAGAAGACTTCATGAGATTAGGGAAATATTTCGAAATATTGAGCACTCACATGTTTGGCCTTTTCAGGTGAGTTTCCTACTACACTGCTATTGAGTTCATTTGCAAACAAAAAGGTTCATCTATAAGGATGTCTCTTAATGATTATATAAGAAAAGAGAAGGTTTCTCTGATTTTGTGTGTTGATTTTTCCTTGTAGTATTGGCTTGAGACAGATAAAGCGGCATATCTTCTTCGCCAATACTTCTTTAGTAATCTTCATGATCGCCTTAGCACTCGACCGTTCCTGAGTTTGATAGAGAAGAAATGGCTTGCTTTCCAGGTAAACATTGCTCGAATTGCCATATGCTGTTGCTTATGAGCGTTTTTTTTGGGTGTCAAAACGCTACTGTTATGAATGTTGTCATTGCTCCTGGCAATGCTGCGAGCTGGTAGTTTTTCTAAGGAGAAGGTTTCTCCTTGAATTTTTCTATATATGATTTCCAATTTGAGCTCTCTGATTTCGCAGCTACTTTATGCAGTGAAGCAGAGCCACGACAATGGAGTTTGTCATGGTGAGAATTTAAGAACCAAGCTGCGCTATTGCATTATTTTGTTTGGTTTGTAAAACGTTTGAGACTTTTGGAGATATTGCATGTTTGACCAGGTGATATTAAGTGTGAAAATGTTTTGGTGACATCTTGGAACTGGCTCTACCTTGCTGACTTTGCATCCTTCAAGCCAACCTATATCCCAGATGATGATCCATCAGATTTCTCATTTTTCTTTGACACTGGGGGAAGGAGACGTTGTTATCTTGCACCAGAGGTTGGTATGTTAGTGGCTTTGGTTTGATCAGCTATCATGTACAATAAGGGGTTCCTCATTCTCATTGAGGTCTTTGATTTTTAGATAGCATACTTTTGCTTTTTAAAATGTTTGAAAATTTAAAGATTCCATGGATGCATACCCCATAAACCTGATACTTTCACGTGGACTTTTTCGTTCCACTATTATGTTAACATTTACTTACCCCGGTGTTACTATTTTTTCTATGAACTATATGGACTTGTTTGCCTATTTTTTTTCCATTGTTTAATGAGCCCAGGTTTGCTACTTGAGACTTCTGCACACTTTGGAGTTACTAGCTAAAAATTGAGTTTTATGATATGTTTGGCAAAAAGCTATACAGGTCCATTGTTGAGACGTAATAGGCGTGAATTCAATTTATTTGGTGTTAATTTTTTTCTTTTAAACACATTCACCTGCGCTTAAGTATGAGCTGAATTCCATTGCGTTTAGCAGTTTGTGCTAAGATTTTAAATTAGACAATGCCCTCTGGAAAAATAGAATAAGTTATTTAGTCCAATGTATGTAACAATCAAAATTTGAAAAGATAGTCACTGCCTTGAAAATGTAAGTATCAGTTGTTTTGCGGTAGACATTTTTGAAGAAATATTTCAAGGATCCACCACATTCATTATGTTCTACAAATGTATGAGGTTCTCCTTATACATGTAGTTATTATCAAAGTATGAATGTATGGTAAGATTTCTATTTTCATGGGAGAAGAACCTCAGTTCTGAGTCCCTTTTCATGGGGACATGAGCAAATTCGATCACTTTCAGAGGCTTTCTGTTTGACTGCATTACAGTTGTCCCATAGCATCGGATGGGAGACTGAATATTAAATTTACCGAAGAACTATAGAAGTTGGGACAATGGGCAGAATGCGGTAGAACAGAACAGGAAGGGATCATATAAATTAAAACACAGAAAGAAAGAAGAGATAAGGAAAGCATAAATTGTATTTGACGCATGTGTCAACAAATTCGTGACCTGTGTAAAATATTATAAACTGCATTGAGACTGGTCATGTTGGATAGCGACGTACTACTTGCATTGATTTGGCTGCTAGTGACATTATGTAATTATGGTTCACTAAGAACTTGAAGGTTCTCCTTATACATGAAAAGTTTATGCTGTTCTATTTGATTAGTTAGTGGCATTTATTGTCATTTCTCATCCTTTGTATGATTCTGAGGTGTTGAAATTCTTGAAATCCCCAAATTATTCAAAGCTCATTTTTTTCTTGAAGCGGCCATTGTTTAAATCTTGAAAAGGTAAACTTCATGATATCAGTGATAATCTAACTGAAAGTTGCTTCTCTCTTAGAGGTTCTATGAACATGGAGGCGAGATGCATGTTACTCCAGATGCACCTTTAAGGCCTTCTATGGACATCTTTTCTTTGGGGTGAGTATTGACACATTGTTCCTTTCAGAAGATTCTGTCCATGTACTAATTTTGTGGCAATTTTAGGTCAAATTTATTCTTCTCTCTGAAGTTTATTGCTCCTTTTCTATGAAAGAGCTTGATGTTCAATTTCATTAATTATTGCCTGTTTAGATTGGAAAACCTTGCAAGCATCTCTGTTTTTAAATTTCTTTCTTTGACCTTTAAAACATTTTTGCGAAGCTTATGAAATCAGATTGTAGTGAACCTTCCATAAACATGAAATTCAGTTAGCAAAAGATAAGCATGCCTTTCCTTTACTTGGACAAAGTAGTTCATAAGTGCTAGGTGAGATGAAAATTTTGCTGACTAATTTTCTGTAGTTAAGTATATATTGTAGTCCTTGTCATGGGGGTCATCTCCTTCTAACATTGATTGAGAGAGTGTGGGAGCCCCCAAAACATTCCATGACCTTGATGGTGGGTCACTCTTCTCTCATACTAATTGATCGGGCCATGAGGACCATCTAATGATTACAATCTAAATTTCTTTCTTTTCTTTTTTTTTGGGGAAATATCTTTAGCTATTGACAAAAATATAGATCAAACTTGGTGCATAAATAATTCACTCGAAGATTTCAATTTGTTGTCCTTCTGTTGTTATATTGACTAATGCTCTAGCTGTTGGGTGGGTTGCTTCAATGTTAGGTGTTCTGTTTCCTAACATAGGGTTATGAAGTATCGAGGGGGGTAGATCTGGTGAAACAACTTTTAGGGTCTTTGGTGTTATAAACATTGGATTTTGTAATGCATGATGAACATTGAGTAAAGTATGCCGAAACTGCATTTAGGGGGTTGAGGGGTGCCCATTATTTGGAGTATTTTATGCATTTATTTTAAAAATAATTGTGTAACCTGAGGTATCCTCACTACTTTTTATGTTTGTATTTGTATAAACCTTGGATGGGATATTTTGTGCATTTTGTTTCCTGAGGGATGTATCTTCTCATTATTCATCTATAACTTGTCTGGGTATCAAAATCTCTGTCATGCTTACTCCAAAGCCCTTGAAAGCCGAAGTACTTGCATCAAAGTCTGGGTTTCCTTATGATTTTTTCAATATATTCAAGATTGAAATCAGGGTCTCCTTTTCAACCTTAGAACTTTTTGATTGTTGGTAAACTATTGTTTTTGTAATATGTATTGTATAGTATTTTGATTTTGATTCATCAGTTGGAGCCCTATTCTTTGTCAAAATTATGGAGCCTCAAATCCCAACTTTAAAACCTTAAATTTTCAAATGCTAGGTATTTGATGGTCCTTTTCTTCTAGAAAGTAAATTTGGAACCTGCATGTGAGCTCTATGCGTATGTCATCAATTTTTCTGGTTCAAGAGGTTTTTACCTTTGGTAATTCGTTAACACAGGACATTTACGAAGCAACAGACTCTTAAGCCTTACTTGTGTAGTTTGTCAGGCTCAGCTATGTCCATTTGTGGTGAGCTTGGATGGCCTTTAAAGTCTTACATCAAGTAAAGATCTAGTATCTGGAACTGCTAGTTGCTGCATCCCATATGTAGCAGGGCCATCATTGAGAGCGTTTAGTACTCCTAACACTTGGGCCTTGTTTTTATTGGCTTACTTTCTGCACCTGAATACTCTGATCAATTTCATCTCCACTAGAGTCAACAAAGTCCGTCCTTAGACTTTCTTGTTTAATATGTTTCTATGGCTTCCTTTCTTATCCAACATATTTCAAACTGTACTTCATGACTTTGAAAACCTTGGGACGAGGTGCGAACCTGGAATTTAGTCGTCTTCACCTTAGCGTATTCTCCCAGACAGCTCTATTAGTATTGTTCATATGTAACTTTATCTTTATGTTGGCATATTTAATCACTGGCTTCAGCCAAAAAAGGAAGAAATAAATATTGACAAGAAAATCTTTTAGGATATTACCATTCATTTAAAAATCTACAACCTCCAAAAGTACTAAAGTGAGGAGATCTAGAGCACAAGGAGTAGGCCTCCCCTGTTGGAGGTTATCTAAACAAAATAAATGAATAGTTTAATGCTTTTGGATAAAAAGCTGCAAATTTGGCTGACCCTATGGTTGGGACCGTTGTCCGTACTATACATATGGTAGGTTTTGAGATCCCTAAATGATCTTAAACTTGTAGAGATCTTGATTCTAACCTCTTAAGATCTCGATCCCAAGCTTTTTGCGTTCTTGCTTCCTACATTAAAGAGTGTATATAGTCTAGGACTACACATACTATTTAAAGTAGGATTTCATTGTTTATATGCGAACATTCTGTGCGACTATATTAAAAGTATAGTTACATTGTTAGTGGGCTTGAAAATCATCATTTTGGTCATTGTCTTGTCTTTGTATATATTATGGTTCTTGTCTGGTCGTACTTTTGAACCTTTGTGGCCATTTGAATCATCTGACTGCTTCAATTATTCTGAAGAAAATTATTTAAAGAAACTTCACTTAGTCAACTGATGATGATAGAATCATTGACATTATAAAAAATGAGAGAACTGTTATTCTTTTGGATTAGAAAGAAAAAGAAAAGGGACTTACAATCACCTCCTTGCTGTAGATGTGTGATTGCTGAGCTTTTCCTTGAAGGTCAGCCACTGTTTGAGTTATCCCAGCTACTTGCCTATCGGAGAGGACAATATGACCCAGCCCCATACCTGGAAAAGGTTTTTCGTTGCAAATTTTTCATTCCTTAAATTTATTGTCATATATTTGTATGTTTTTCTTTCATGGTCATTGCTTATGTATTTATTAATGACACATCTTTTCTGAGTGCAGATATCAGACTCTGGAATTCGTAAAATGATTCTTCATATGATCCAGTTAGATTCAGGATTGCGACTCTCTGCTGATTCATACTTGCAGAGCAATGCATCCTCTGTCTTCCCTAGTTACTTTTCACCGCTTCTTCATAATTTTTTCTCCTGCTTGATTCCACTTGATTCTGATACGAGGGTAAGAAGATGTGTTTTACAACAGTGGAAATTTGTTTTTCTTTATTTTTCTAGTTTATTCTATTGTGCAGATTTGAATATCTTTATGCATGAAGTAAAGCATGCTTCTTTTCTTTCAAAAAAGTATAGCATGCTTCTTCTAAAGTTTGCTTTCTCTGTTGTTCATAGGTTTTAGTGACACAGAGCTTTTATGATGAGATACTTAAGAAGATGATGCACAGTTTGCCCAGTGGGGAGGTACTTTCTGAATCATTCAAATCCGCGGATCCAAAGAATGAAAATCAAGATCAGAAACTGGTTTGTTTAGATGGTAACTCAAGCAAGAATGACGAAGCAGGGAAAATAAACTTTGGAAATTCTAAGATTCAGTTGGTTGGTGATGTCACTGCCCTTTTTCGAGATATAGAAAAAACTAGTCATCATTCTTATGCCAAACCAACATTTCAAAAGGTACCAGTTTCTGCCTCTGGTTCTGATACAAAAAAGAACAACCCATCTTTACAAAAAGCAGAACAAAATAGCAAGCATTCATCAATTAAGCTCCATCCTACCATTGCCAATGATTCTGTTAAGAAGAATGCATTCCCTGCTTTTGGGAAGAAGGTTGAGAGTAACCTAGCTTCTCTGATGACCCAATATGATAGTGAGTCTGATACTCTTTGTGTGCCATCTTTGTCCGACAATCAAAATGGGGTGGGCTGTGATGTCATGGTACTGATTGCTTCATTGCTTTGTTCATGTCTCCGGAGTGTTAAACTGCCACAATTGAGACGGGCAGCTGTTATTCTTTTAAAGTCTTCTCAAATATATATTGATGATGAAGATCGATTGCAGCATGTGCTGCCATTTGTCATAGCAATGCTCTCAGACCCAGCAGCTATTGTTCGGTGTGCTGCTCTCCAAACTTTGTGTGATATCTTGCCTTTAGTCCGTGATTTTCCTCCTAGTGACGCAAAGATTTTTCCAGAGTATATTCTACCTATGCTCTCAATGCTTCCTGATGATCCGGAGGAAAGTGTTCGAATTTGTTATGCCAGCAATATATCCCAGATTGCCATAACTAGTTATAGGTATCTAATGCATTCTCAAAAGTTGGGTGAGGCAGGGGTGCTAGATAAGCTAAGTTCTCCTCGAAAGGCTTCTGCTCCTGCAATGATCGAGTCATCTGAACATATGAAAGATAAGAGAAGTGATGCACAACTTGGACAATTGAGGAAGACTATAGCAGAAGTTGTTCAAGAGCTAGTCATGGGACCAAAGCAAACCCCAAACATTCGAAGAGCACTCTTGCAGGGCATTGGCTGGCTTTGTTGCTTTTTTGGTCAAAGGCAAAGTAATGACTTACTTTTACCAATTCTCCCTGCATTCCTCAATGATCGCGATGAACAGTTAAGGGCGGTTTTCTATGAGCAGATTGTGTTTGTGTGCTTCTTTGTGGGTCAAAGAAGTGTTGAGGAATATCTTCTTCCTTATATCGAGCAGGCTTTGAGTGATGGGTTTGAAGCTGTGATTGTTAATGCATTGCAATGCTTGGCATTACTTTGCAGGAGGAGATTTTTGAGAAAGAGAATTCTTCTTGAAATGATTGAGAGGGCTTCCCCACTTTTATGTTATCCAAGCGAGTGGGTTAGAAGGTCGGCCATTAGTTTTGTTGCAGCATGTAGTGAGTGTCTTGAAGAAGTGGACTCTTATGTTTATCTCCCTCCTCTGTTGCGCCCTTTCCTCCGAAGAGATCCCTCATCATTGTCTTCAGAAGCTTCTTTGTCATCATGTCTAACGCCTCTGGTCTCTAAACGGGTATTTCAACAGGTTATAGAAAATTCTAGAAATCCTGACATGCTTGATCGGCAAAGGAAGATTTGGTACCATTCAGCTTCCTATCCTAAGAGAGATGAAGATCCAAGTGCGTTGAGAAGCTGGGTGGGTAAGCAACCAGACCAACCAGGGAACCGGTCTTTTCTTACTACAACACGACATGAAATTGACAACACCTCAAAAAGTTACATGCACAACACCTCAAAAAGTGCGGCCCACACCATAGAGAATCCTGTAAACTCTGAAAATTTGCAGTTCTCAGGCTTGAGTGCTCCTCATATTAGTGGAGGGAACAGTGTCCTCTGTGATGGGCCTTCTGAGGGGATACCTCTGTATTCCTTTTTTGTCGACAAGAGGCCCGATGTGGGGCCCACAACCACTTCATCTCAATGGGGATCAGTAGGAGTTGGCTCATCATCATCCATGATGAGTAAATCCATCATCAGCTTGGCGAGTTCTACTGCCCCAAAACATGCTTTGGGCTCATTCTTTAATGTCAACAACGGCAACAAACAAGTCTATAAAGTGGTGAGAGAAGGAGAGGGCAGGGAGGCAGACCAGGCTTCCCATCTAGCTGGGAAAATCAAAGATATAAGCATTTCAGGCATGCTTAGAGGTGCCAGCTCATCGTCACTTGCATTATCAGATGAAGCAATAGGCCCCGCCTCTTTTGCACGAGCCCAATCGGTTGCCGACATCTGGCGGCCTCGTGGCGTCCTTGTGGCCCATCTCCAAGAGCATCACTTGGCTGTTAATGATATTGCTGTATCGAGTGATCATAGCTTCTTTGTGAGTGCATCAGATGATTCGACTGTAAAGGTATGGGATACACGAAAGCTCGAAAAGGATATCTCCTTTAGGTCGAGGCTCACTTACCCACTAGATGGCAGTCGTGGCTTGTGTGTGACTATGGTGCGTGGTGGTCCACAAGTTGCCGTTTCAGCAAGTGATGGTACCATTCGGGTCTTCTCTGTTGATTATGTGTCTCGAGGATCGGGGAGTATTGAGAGGTATTTGGGTATCTCAGATGTGGACAAGAGGAATTCAGGTGAAGGGGCTGTCTCAAGTCTCTTGGATTTCACCATGGACCATAGTAGTGGTCCCATGCTATTATACAGCACTCGGGGGTGTGGGGTTCATCTATGGGATTTGAGAGATAATTCCAATGCTTGGACCTTGCAGGCGGTTCCTGAACAAGGTCATATCTCTTCAGTTGTGACTGGGCCGTGTGGGACTTGGTTTGTTTCGGGTTCATCTAGAGGGGTACTTACTCTGTGGGACTTGAGGTTTCTTATACCTGTAAATTCATGGGAATACCCTATTTCTTGTCCTGTGGAGAAAATGTGTCTTCTTATCCTCCCTTCGGGTGCTTCATTGTCTAGTATGGCAAGGCCATTGGTGTATGTTGCGGCTGGTTGTAATGAGGTTGCTCTTTGGAATGCGGAGAATGGGAGCTGCCACGAGGTATGTATGCCCACTATCCTTTTACCGGTGTTCATAGTTAGAAGTGCCTCAATTGTTTGAAATATGTCATGAGATTTTCAAAGAAAGGTCCTTGTTGGAATGAGGTTTTCCTTTCCCGGATTTTTACTTTTTCCTTGCAAATTTCTTTTGACATTCTAAGTTGGGTGGATATAAATTTGCAAGAAATATCGTAATTTTATAAAAATAGTAGAGTTGATAGAAATTTAAATTTTTGATGGAGGATGTCGATTTATTTTTCTTCTTTAAAATTAAGATTTAGGTATTGTTTCCATAGCGTATCCCCATAAAGCTATTGTTTTGAAAGTTGTCTCGAGAATATACCTCATCAATAAATCCTTAAAAAAGAGATCTTGCAAGTTGCAACCATGATTCTTGGCAGGTTAGTTTCTCTGCAGTCAGAAACATTGAAATTTTCCCCAGAATTGCGAAAATTTTGACCTTTTTGAAAATTCCCTAAGAAATCACCTTAGCAATGAATGTTTTTGTAATCTCTGCCCATTTCGGAAAGTTCAAACTCTTCTTCTATTCTACTCTTGAAGGTGTTTCGGCTGGCAAACAACGAAGGCCACACCGAAATGGCTGATATCCCTTGGGCTCTGGCCAGGCCTTCTAGCAAGGCCACTTCTAAACTTGACGCCAAACGCAATGTGAACCCAAAATATAGAGTCAACGAACTGAACGAACCTCCCCCTCGTCTTCCTGGGATCCGTTCCTTGCTGCCTTTATCGGGTGGAGACTTATTGACAGGTGGGACTGACTTCAGGATTCGCCGTTGGGACCATTGCAGGTTTGTTGTTTTTTGTTTTTTGTTTTGTTTTTTGTTTTTGTTTTTTGTTTTTGTTATTTCTTTCTTTGTCAGGAAAATGGTAGATATATTTGTTAAATATTATCAGCAAGGCATTTAAAGGTGATTTTGTTGGGGAGCTCTAGTGCTTCTTGTTCAGAATCTACAGGTGTTTATTGTATTTCTTAAATATTAAAATAAGGGAGAGTTTAAGGTCAGATCGCTAGCTGATGCCCAATGGCGCAAATTGAATCTATGCCGATTTAATGGTCACGAATGCATTTTGTATTTTAATTTTAATTTTTGTCTACAAATCCAAATTACTTGAAACTTGGAGTGTCCACTCTTCTCATCAAGACAAATTTGATAAAAATATCAAAAAATTAATTCACACAAATTAAATAGACCAAAATACCCCTGAAATTACTTTCAGGGGTATTTTGATCAATTTATTTTTGATGAATATTGTTTTAACTATTTTTGTTAGGTACGCATTGATTAGAAGAGTAGACATCCCAAATTTCATGTGATTTGGATTTGTAGAAAAAAGCTAAAAATTCAAATACAAAATGCAATCGTGACCGTCATATCGGTTTAGATTCAATCTGGGTAGTTGGGCTTACACTTTTCCATTAGTCCATGGGCTAACATGATCTTTTCCCTTAAAATTAAAGGTGATGTTTGCATAAGGTTGCAACCTTAAACAATCAAAGTAAGACGGACCTCTAAACTTTGGCATATGATGCAATTTTGGTGTCAAATTTTTTTAAAATATCACGAGAATCTACTTCATCTCTAATTATAAAATTTTAAACTCCATAAATGGTTCAAATCTAGTAGATCTATAGACACTTGAAAATGGATGCTCTAGATAATGTGGTTCAAGATGTACTATTGTTGGTACTTGAGATCATTTTTCTCCATATCCGTATACATTTCAATGTCTAGATAATTAATTAGATGTTTTCCAATGGTAAAACAGCCATTTCCGATGGATTTTTTAGGAGCACCTTAATTCTACAATTTAAGGTGTCAACCTTATATAGACTTTTTCCTAAAATAAAATTTCTGTATTTTGTAAATGAAAGTCATGGCACGAATTTGTTATGATTTCTTGAAAATACTTATTTCGTGCTTGAGGTAAAACAAGAGTTTGTATTGTAGAACAGTTTCAGCTCTGGAAAATACAGTCAAAACCTTAATCATCCTCCTTTCATCTGTTGCATCTTTTGTTATTAATAAATAACGTTAAAACATTTAAATCCAATGATATAATGTGATGATATAAAGTTAGCATGATAAATAGAATGGTAATAATTAGCTGTCAAAAAAAAAGATGATAGTCCCCAATTAAATTTTGAATGAAATCCTCATAAAAGGAGAGATGTTTGTAGTTGTTACTGTGGTAGTAACTTGGGCTGACTACTGTACTTCTGTGCTGCAGTCCGGATCGAAGTTACTGTGTCTGCGGCCCCACAACAAGTAGGAGCACAGGTTGTGATGAATATTATGACACGAGATCTAGTTTCGGTGTTCAAGTTGTGCAGGTAATGCAAGGAAGTTCTGGAAAAATCTTACAGATTTTTTCTTCCTATTGGTTGAAGTTCTTGACTGTGAAAGTTTACTTGTTCCTGTGTAAAAGTCAGTTGACATTTTGGCTTTAAAAGTAGTAATAGAGAAAAAATCGAATTAATGATCAATCGAGTAAACAAATAACCAACTATGGACCTTTCATGCATAAGTTATTAGTAAGATTTTGGTAATGATAGTCGTTGCAATGAACTTGATTTTACTTATCCATTAAATAACAATAGATCTGGAATCCTGCACTAAAACAGGAGACGAGCAAGCGCCCTTCTGCGACCAAGTTGACATCAAAAGCTCTCCTTACTGCTGCTGCCACCGATACAGCCGGGTGTCATCGAGACTCCATTCTCTCCCTAGCTTCAGTTAAGTTAAACCAGAGGCTCTTGATATCAAGCAGTAGAGATGGTGCTATCAAGGTCTGGAAGTAGCAAGCATCACTGATTATGAACCCATTACTAAGGTTAATTAATTGTACATATTAATTCAGGAAGGTCCACATGATCAAAATGTAAGTATCTCGTCCTTTATCGTGTATATATGCATTTAAGAAAGCAAATTTTGCTTTGTATATTTATGATGTGGGACTTGTGAAATTCTCAGATGAAAATTAGTGGTTTGACCTTTTCTCCGACTGTCTGGAGAAATTTCCATAATTAGCTAGGAACATACAATTGCTTTTATATCTACAGTATCGCGAATTAAGGGACAGGTCCTTGTGTGCTTTTATATCTACAGTATCGCGAATTAAAGGACAGGTCCTTGTGTCTTATTACGCATTCATTAGGACCTTTAAGGCATGTTTGACAACTAGAACTTGGGATGAGTGGCATCCCAAATTCCAACCCACTCCCCTAGTTCTTTGGTGAAGTTTTTCTCAAGGCACCGGGAGCGTGTCATCTTAAAAAATGAGGATCGCGGGGCCCCTCGCCCCATGGAGGGTGACGCTTTGGGAGTCTAGATCACAGGACACATGAAAAAAATTGTCCCGTCACTTGTGCTCAGCTTTAGCCCTCTTTCTTATGTTATTTTCCCTCTCTTTACTCCCAACTTCACCCTGAGCCGCCCCCCCCTTCCCCTTCTTCATGGTGTCTGAATTCTTCTTCTCCATCTTCTCTCTCTATGGTGAATTGGTCTCTAAGTCTAGCACTAAATACCATTTAAGGTTTAAACAGATTGGTAATTGGTAATAGAGGATTAAATTCAGCGGAGAAGGAGAGTGACGGAGAAGGAGAGTGACAGATAAGGGACTGTAGCAGTGGGTTTTGGATTTCTCTCCATTACATCAGGTTTAGAGGCCATGGTTTTGGTCTAGAGATTGTAGGAAATTGTTTGCATATGGTTTTTCTCCCATCTTCTTGTTTTGTTTTAGTTCTGCTGCTGTTTATGTTAATCTTTGGAGAGAATGAAAGATGGATTTCTTTCTCCCCATTCTTTTGTTTTGTGTTTTTTATTTGAATCATAGGTTGTTGGCCATATATGTATCTTGTTTAAGAGAAATCATCTCTCTCTAGGACTTAGAAGGATTTGTTTTTTCCAAAATATTTAGATAGATTTATTATCATTTGATTAATAATATTAAAAACGAAAAAATTGATTTTGAATTCACAAAGATTTAGATTTTGAAATTCACCAAATGGATGGTCTAGATTCATTGTTAGAAGGGATTCATTTTGATCATATATAGGATGCAAATTGAATTTTAATTTTTTTTAGATTTGTAAATGACTAAAATGATTGATGCAATTGAGATTTGTAAGTGATTAAAATGATTGTGATTTCTTTGTATTAAAAAGTAAAGAGTAATGATCGTATAGGACTTTATCCCACCTATGTATGTACAATCTCAAAAGATTACTATTAAAGTTGGCACGGATCTTTAAAAAGTTATCACATAGTTGTGGGATTTAACGTTTCTATAAATCCATGTTAAATTTAATGATGATCTTTAGGGGTCTTACACACATGGGTGGGGGAGGGTCTTATAGGAAATGGTATATGTTAACTTCATGTCAAATCTAATGTTTTAATAGCTTGAGGTAAATCTGGTTCCTTTTTTTCTTTTTTCTTTTTTTTTTTTGAAAAAATTGTTCACTAAGTAAATCAAATTTTCAAACTCTCAAATAAAAAATTCCTCCCGATTAGATATTTTGCTTGCAGGATGAAGCGCAACATTTGCTCACGCAAGAGTGCCCGTGCCCTATAAATAACGCAGCTTGTACCTTCACGATTTTTAATTTTGAAAGGAGCAGCTTACCAAAAATATTTGACATTGAAGACTTCAATTATCGCCATTGGAACTCATGAAATCGTCGTTGAATTTATAACATTTTGTTAATAATAATAATGGGAAATTTATCGAAATGTAAATAAGAGATCTTCTTTTTTATAATTTATCTATATGCATTGATTTAGTTTCAAAATATCCATCAAAATACAGCTGACCATGAGTGGGGAATAATTGAAAAAGGGCAAACTGTTGAATTGTCGAAAAGTATGGTTGATTTCGATAAATTGCCTAGTAATACAACAACAACAACAATTCCACATTAAAAAAATTAACATTAAAAAAAAAAAAACTATAGTTTTAACAGCAACAAGTATCACATTTTAGTTATGAAATTTTCAAAATAGTTCTACTTATTTCATATTTGAAGCACATATTAATTTCTGAGGGTATATGCTGTAGGGCAATGATTTCATGCAACCGTTGTATAGTAATATGATGCGTCAATCTTAAAAAACCATCTTATGGCCATTTGTTTGATCCAAATTTTGAAATATACACTCTTTTCATTCTAATGAATAATCACAAAAAAAGAACAAATTGAAAACACAACATAGAAAGTATTTTCTTAGCCCAATTAACATAGGCCGTTCATTTTGGTGAGATACTTAGATCTAGGCCTTAGAATGATTTTTTCATTACTAATTTTTTTGGTATGGATTTATTATCATTAGATG